AAACGTATGGCCAACTCATCTTTGACAAAGCAGGAAAGAATATCCAATGGAATAAAGATAGTCTCTTCACCAAGTGGTGCTGGGAAAACTGGACAGCGACATGCAGAAGAATGAACACAGACCACTTTCTTACACCATACACAAAAATAAACTCAAAATGGATGAAAGACCTCAATGTAAGACAGGAAGCCATCAAAATCCTCGAGGAGAAAGCAGGCAAAAACCTCTTTGACCTTGGCCACAGCAATTTCTTACTCAACACATCTCCGGAGGTAAGGGAAACAAAAGCAAAAATGAACTACTGGGACCTCATCAAAATAAAAAGCTTCTTTCTGCACAGCAAAGGAAACAACCAGCAAAACTAAAAGGCAACTGACAGAATGGGAGAAGATACTTGCAAATGGCATGCCAGATAAAGGGTTAATATACAAAATCTATAAAGAACTTATCAAACTCAATACCCAAAAAACAAATAATCCAGTGAAGAAATGGACAAAAGACATGAATAGACACTTCTCCAAAGAGGACATCCAGATGGCCAACCGACACATGAAAAAATGCTCACCATCACTCATCACCAGGGAAATACAAATCAAAACCACAATGAGATACCACCTCACACCTGTCAGAATGGCTAACATTAACAACTCAGGCAACAACAGATGTTGGCGAGGATGTGGAGAAAGAGGATCTTTTTTGCACTGTTGGTGGCAATGCGAGCTGGTGCAGCCACTCTGGAAAACAGTATGGAGGTTCCTCAAAAAACTAAAAATAGTGGGGCACCTGGGTGGTTCAGTCGGTTAAGCGGCCGACTTCGGCTCAGGTCATGATCTCGCGGTCCGTGAGTTCAAGCCCCACGTCGAGCTCTGTGCTGACAGCTCAGAGCCTGGAGCCTATTTCAGATTCTGTGTCTCCCTCTCTCTGACCCTCCCCTGTTCATGCTCTGTCTCTCTCTGTCTCAAAAATAAATAAACGTTAAAAAAAAAACTAAAAACTAAAAATAGAACTACCCTATGATCCAGCAATTGCACTACTAGGCATTTCTCCACGGGATACAGGTGTGCTGTTTCAAAGGGACACATGCACCCCCATGTTTATAGCAGCACTATCAACAATAGCCAAAGTATGGAAAGAGCCCAAATGTCCACTGATGGATGAATGGATAAAGATGATGTGGTATATACATACAATGGAGTATTACTCGGCAATCAAAAAGAATGAAATCTTGCCATTTGCAGCTACGTGGATGGAACTGGAGGGTATTATACTAAGTGAAATTAGAGAAACACAAAAATCATGACTTCACTCATATGAGGACTTTAAGAGACAAAACAGATGAACATAAGGGAAGGGAAACAAAACTAATATAAAAACAGGGAGGGGGACAAAACATAAGTGACTCATAAATATGGCGAACAAACTGAGGGTTACTGGAGGGGTTGTGGGAGAGGGGATGGGCTAAATGGGTAAGGGGCACTAAGGAATCTACTCCTGAAATCATTGTTGCACTATATGCTAACTAATTTGGATGTAAGTTTTAAAAAATTAAAAAATAGAAAAAATAAAAATAAAAAGATAAAATTGATACTTCTACAACACTCCTCCCAACAAAAAATATACCTTCTTTTCAAGTGAAACATACACTTGAAATAGACTGAACGCTGGGCAATAAAACAAAGAATGTAAATCATAAAGTACATGGTCTCAAATCACGATGGAATAAAATTAGAAACCAGTAATATGATAACATGGAAATCTCCAAACACTTGGAAACTGAACAACATACTTCTAAACAACCCATGTGATGATGTCTCAAATGAAATCAAAACACATATAAAACTGAATGAAAATATAACATTAGAATTTGTGAGAGAGCTAAAACCCTAAGAAGGAAGTTTACAGCATAAACACACACAAAAGAAAACACAGTATCAAATCAATAATCTAAACTCACATCTGAACAACCTAAAAAAAATTGCAAAATAAACCCAAAGCAAGCAGATAGGAGAAAATAGCAGAAATGAATGAAATTTATAATAAAAAGTTGAAAAAAAATGAAGTAAACAAAGAGTTGATTCTTTGAAAAAAATTCACTAACATTGACAAACCTCTACATCAAGACTGGGGGGAAAAAAAAGACAAATTCCCATCACAGGAATGAAATGGAGTATCACTAAAGACTCCGCACATATCACTACAGCTTAGATAAAACAGAATAAATGCTCAAAAACACAACCTGCCACAAGACACTCAATATGAAATAAATAATCTGAACAGTCCTATTAACTATTAAATTTGTAATTTAAAATCACACCAAAAGAAGAAATGCACAGGCCTACATGGTTTCACTAAAGAAAAAATTAACACCAATTCTACACAATCTCTTCTAAAACACCGAAGAGGATAGAGCACTTTCTAATTCATTTATGAAGTTGGTATTACACTGATACCAAAACCAGACAAAGGCAGTATAAAAAAAGAATACTACAGACCAATATCCCTCATGATACAGATACAAAAATCCTTAACAAGGTATCTGAAAATAGAATTTAACAACACATAAAAGGAATTACACACTATGACCAGGTGAGGCTTATCCAAAGGATGCAAGGCTGGTTCTAGTTGAAATCAGTCACATTAATCATACAAAATCACCACTGTTAACAGGTTAAAGAAGAAAAATTACATAATCATAGATCACTGCAGAAAAAAAGCATTCAAATTCAAAAAGCCAACAGCCAACAGCTGTGCAGTGTTGGTGGTATAGTGGTGAGCCTAACTGCTACCTTCCAAAAAGTCAACAGCCACTCACGATAAAAATCTCACACAAGGAATAGAGAACTTTTAACCTGATATAGCATCTACAAAAAACCTACTGCTAACCTACTTAATGGTGAAGGAATGAATGGTTTTCCCTTAAGCTGGGGAACAAAGCATAAATATCCACTCTCACCACTCTTACTCAACACAGTGCCGCAAATTCTAGCCACTGCAATATGGAGAGAAAAGGAGAGAAAAGCCACAAATATCAGGAGGGGAAAAAAAAGTCCCTATTTGAAAATATGACTGTCTACCTAGAAAATTGCAAGCAATTTACCAAAAAATCTCCCAGAATGAGTTCAACAAGGTCAGAATATAAGATAAACCAAAAAAAAACCAACCAAACAAACAAACCTGTGTTTCTAAATACTAGCACATGGACACCAAAGTTAAATTTATAATACCATTTACAATCACTCAAAACAAGAATTAAATATTTAGGTATATCTTGCAAAACATGTACAGGATGTGCTGAAAATTGCACAATACTGATGAAGAAATCAAAGATTGGATTGGAAAATTCAACACAGTAAAAATGTCAATCTCTCCAAATGTATATACTGTTCAACAGGATTTTTTGGTACCTACAGACAAAACATTCTAAAGCTTATGTGGAAACACAAAGGAACTAGAATATCTAAAACAATTTTGAAAATGAAGAATAAAGTAGAAGGAATGACTTCCTGGTTTCAAAAGTTACATAGCTAAAATAATCAAGACTATATTAACAGAGGGATAGACATGCAGATCAGTGAAATAATCCAGAAATAAACTGAGACAAATACGCTCAACTGATTTTCGAGCAACACAAAAACAGTTCAAGGGAAGAAAGACAGCTTTTTCAACAAGCAGTCTAGAGCAACTGAACACACATAGGCCAAAAACAACCCCCCCCCCCCAAAAAACCTCAACCTACATCTCTGCTTTACATAAAAATTAACTCAAAATAGATCATGGACTTCAATGTAATAAGTGAAAGTATAAAAGTTTTATTGAAAGGAAAAACACAGCAGAAATCTTTCAGATCTAGAACCAGGCAAAGAGTTCTTACACTTGATACTAAAAGCATGATCCATAAAAGAAAAAACTGATAAACTGGATTTCATTGAAATTAAATACTTTAGCTCTGCAAAAGACCATCAAGAAAATAAGAAGACAAACTACAGACTGAGAGAAAATATTTGCAAACTATGTATCTCCCAAAGACTTGCCAAATTAGAAGTGGTACAGTTTAAAGAGGGGAAGGGGTGGAAGGAAGTGGGTATGGCTATAAAATGACACGAACAAAGGAATCCTATGGCAGTGGAAATGTTCTCTGTCCTATCAATAACATGGTTGTGATACTGTACTGTAGTTTTACAAGGAGATTCCACTAGGGGTAACTATGTAAAGGATACAAGGGACCTCTCTATATTATTTCTTATAACTGCATATGAATCCACAATTATCTCAAAGTAAGAAATTTAATTAAAAGAAAACCTTTTTAAGTCAACAGTGAAAAGTTGAATCATGACAAGTTATGACATAGTAACTTATGTGGAATATCTGAGTTTCTAAGACATTAACTAAATGCTAATTTGAATATCCCTTGAAAGAAGAGTGACATTTCCAAAGCTACTGGTAAAAGTCAAAGGATTACATCTTCAAGCAAAATAATCAATACAGTTCTACAGTGAGGACTTGTCATTAAAATTCCAAAACTTGAGGCCTAATTAGGTGGTATCTGTTGTCTGGCAAAGGCCTAAATTTTCTTATTCAATAGACAAAATTATTAACAAACCAATGAATAATTAACATGCACCTTCTACTTGCCAAACACTGTTCTGGAAGTTTCCCCTCTATGTTCTTCATCTCTGACACTGAGGCTATACATGGTTCTAATGGAAGCGCCTTCAGCTACCGTGATAAATCCAACTACCATAATTAGAGTATTTCTTATGCTTTCCAAGTTCTAACTTAATGACTAAAACATTTATTTGGAATAAACCACTTACTTCTCAACTACCCCACAAGTTTCCAACTTCCTCAATAATTAGTCTAAGTTTAGAGCAGGAAGAAATGTTCAGATGAAGCCTATTCAAAACCACAGTACATGCAATTTTGTTTAAAATTGCCTAATTTCTTTTAAATTTTCTGAAATTTACTACTAAAGTATGCTTTTTTCAAGCGTATGTTCTTACAAATGATTTGTTCATGGCACGTTTCACTTCATCAGAACCATCTGAATAGATCTGCTGAAATAATTTGTTTAAAGCTGCATCTCCCTCCAACTTCTCATTTTTTTCTTCTTCTTTGATCTCACCGACCAATTTATCCCAATTTCTTGTATAATGAGATGACGATGGATATAAGTTCTTTACATCTATGGAGTAAAAAAGATAGAAGTGATTAATCAACACGTGATGACTATGTCAAAAATATGTAAACTTTGTGACTGTGGTATAAAGAACATTGTAACAGTTTATAGTTCACTGAATTTCATATTTATAACAAATGTCTTTTTTGATAAAGTTTATTAATTTCGACGGGGGGGGGGAGAGACAGTGTTTTATTTATCTATCTATTTATTTATGAGAGGCCTGGGGAGGGGCACAGAGAGCAAGAGAGACAGAATCCCAAGCAGGATTGTCACGCTGTCACGCTGTCAGCATCGAGCCTGACACGGGCTCTATCTCACAAAATGTGAGATCATGATCTGAGCTGAAATCAAGAATCAAGACACTTAACTAAGCCACCCAGGCACCCCTCTAATAAATATCTTTCTGATATATACATCAAAAATCAGACTTACACTTATCAAAACTGAATCAGTTAGTATAATGTAAAATCTGGGAATTTTTTTTGAGCAAAATAAAGTGTACATTTTTGGTACATTATCCAAGATTAGATTAAAAACAGACTCTTTGTGTTAATAATGGGGGGGACTGGGTGAGAAGTGTACTGGAACTTTTATATTTATACAAAAGTTGCAAAAATAGTACAAATAATAAAAGATACTAAATAATAATAGTGTTTGTATTTATTTTTTTATTATGAAATTTACTGTCAAATTGGTTTCCATACAACACCCAGTGCTCATCCCAACAGGTGCCCTCCTCAATGCCCATCACCCACTTTCCCCTCCCTCCCATCCCCCTAAATAGTGTTTTTTAAAATGATGCTGAAGAAATTTCTCTTATAAATAAGATTTTAATAAATGTTAAAAATGTAGCTTTTCCTTGGGGTGTTTGGATGGCTCAGTTGGTTAAGCATCTGACTCTTGATTTTGGCTGAAATCATAATTTCATGGTTTCATGAGTTTGAGCCCTGTGTCAGGATCCGCACACTGATCATGCAGAGCCTGTTTGGGATTCTGTCTGTCTCTCTCTCTCTCTCTCTCTCTCTCTCTCTCTCTCTGTCTCTCTCTCTGCCCTTCACCTGCTCATGTGCTCTCTCAAAACAAATAAACTTTAAATAAAAAATGTGGCTTAGTTTTTCTGAGGTACTCCTGTATCTTTCAGAGTAAGTATAAACTGAAAATATAAGTAATTATCCATACAATTAGACAGTGAGTTAAGACTCCATCCTCTCCCCACGTTAAAATATTTGATTACTTCGATAGGAAATAATAATTCTTCTTGAATGATGAAAAATACACCAGGCAATAATCCAGAGCTCAATGTCCACTAACGCACACATAGAAAACATTACAATGTCCACTAACGCACACATAGAAAACACGTTGAAGTTAATGGAAGCTGCTTGCAGCCAGACAGGCTACTGACTAGCCCAGGGGCTCAGGGCACTGCCAAGACTACCCTAAAGACTAATGGAATCAAGAGCCCCCCCACCCCACCCCCCCCCACACAAATAATTAAAAACTAATCTACATAATAGCTATAAGAGCAGTGCTGTTTACTCTCCAATGGAAATACAATGCAGGCACAAATGTGAGCCCCATACATAATTTAAAAATTTCTAGTAGCCACATTACTAAAAAGAATCAGATGAAATGTATTTTAATATTTAACCTAATATATTCAAAACTGTATCAACCTAAACACAAAATCAATATAAATATATTAAGATATGTTGTAATTTTCCTTTCATAAGATCTTCAAAATCTGTATTTTATACTTCCGGCACAACTCAATCCAGACTAGTCATTTCAAATGCTCAGTACGTACAGTGGTGACTATACTAGAAAGTGTAGCTACAAAGCTTTAAAAAACACCCGATTCAAAGTTTCTCTATTAATATATTACGACACACTAAAAAAACACTATATAGGGGTGCCTGGGTGGCGCAGTTGGTTAAGGGTCCGACATGATCTCACGGCTTGTGAGTTCGAGCCCTAGGTCAGGCTCTGTGCTGACAGCTCAGAGCCTGGAGCCTGCTTCAGATTCTGTGTCCCTCCCTGGCTCTGCCCCTCCCTCGCTCATGTGCCCTCTCAAAAATAAACGTTAAAAAATATATATATTTATTATTTATTATAAATATATTAGGACACACTGAATGTCCCTCTTCCTCTACTGCCTCTCTATCTCCCGTTCCTCAAAATAGTTCAGAAATGAGAAACCACTAACTGTTCATTTTGTTGTTCCATCCTTTCTCTTCGCCTATAAACCAACTTTCTCCCTATCTATCTCCCAGCAAAACTAAACCAAACCATAATACCTCACACAGTTTTATTTAGGTTAAGCATATGGTTTTCCAATCTACTCTTCCTCTACCAGTAATTCCCTTGATCTATGTACATTTTCACTAGTAGCCAAAGAAAACAAACAAACAAAACAATGCAAGTTACAGTAAATTAAGAGCCTAAAAAAACATGGGTTTAATTAATCCTAATGCTGACTCCCCAGAGAATGAAAACACAGATTCTAACTTCCACTTTACACAAGAAAACTGGCTCAAACGTGTTAAGCAACTTGCCCTTATCTGCAGTCTCCAGCTTGCAGGACACAGGAATCTGACAAGCATATTAATTCCTTACAAAAATATACCAGGACAGGAGGAATAACATCTGAAATATCCAAGGCACTGAGTTTAGAAAAACTCTGCAATTGTAACACTAAAAATCTTTAGATTTAATCTTAGAAAAATTTTAACACCTGTAGATGAAAGATAAACTACTGAGGGATGGTAACCTAACTTCCTTGCTCATTCATTATAATATCAAACAACTGCAAAGATACTCATGTCAGCAGATTTTCCACTGTTAGAAGATGCAGGAACAACCAGTATCACATACAGAGTTTATGTAAGAACCAGACCCAGATCCTGAAGACCAGGGTTTAGTCCTCGACAATGAAAATTGCCAGGTGATCTTAAGCAATCTGCTTCTTCTCTGAGCCTATAAAACAGGGCTGCCTAATTCAGAGGGCTGTTGTTAGAATTTAGTGATATACGACATTTAAAGTGTTTCTTTAAAAAAAATACTTGAACTATATATATAAACCTCAGCCCCCAAATCCCAGAGAGCCCCAAAAGAACTACATAGCATCTTTCCTATGTCTTTCAAATAAAGTGTGAAAGCAGAAGTTTAAGAGCTTAAATACCAACTTCAAATACTTCAATATAAAAACTATCTGTTGGTGTCAATTTCCTGGTTTTGCTAATTATACTATAGACTAGTTATGATGCTCTCATGCAGGGAAGCCAGGTGAAGGGCACATGAAAACTCTTAGTATTTCTGCAACTTTCAAAATAAAACTAAAATAAAATAAATGATCTATTGGCTAACTCAGGGTTTTCTAAAAGGTGCCACAAAGGAAATGTGTTTTCTGTCACAGAAGAAGGCAGTGAAAAATCTAAAAGTGGCTGAAACACAATGTTAGCTCATTTTGGTCATCAAATTGGAACATTAATCAAAAAGAAATTTTTCTCCTCCCATTAATGAGGCCAATGCTGTAAAATACACTCTTAGACTGTAGTTCTAGGAGTGTCTAGCATATTAAACATTCCACTAGAAAAATACCTGTCTACTGCATATACTTAAAACTGACCCAATGTAATATATATATATATATATATATATATATATATATATACACACACACACAATGGAGTATTACTCAGCAATCAAAAAGAATGAAATCTTGCCATTTGCAACTACATGGATGGAACTAGAGGGTATTACGCTAAGCGAAATTAGTCAGAGAGATAAATATATGACTTCGCTCATATGAGGACTTTAAGACACAAAACAGATGAACACAAGGGAAGGGAAGCAAAAATAATATAAACAGGGAGGGGGACAAAACATAAAAGACTCTTAAATATGAAGAACAAACAGAGGGTTACTGGAGGGGTTGTGGGAAGGGGGATGGGCTAAATGGGTAAATCATTGTTGCACTATATGCTAACTAACTTGGATGTAAATTTAAAAAATTAAATTACATTTAACACATTTTTTAAAAATAGCAAGAGGGGCGCCTGGGTGGCGCAGTCGGTTAAGCGTCCGACTTCAGCCAGGTCATGATCTCGCGGTCCGTGAGTTCGAGCCCCGCGTCACGCTCTGGGCTGATGGCTCAGAGCCTGGAGCCTGTTTCCAATTCTGTGTCTCCCTCTCTCTCTGCCCCTCCCCCGTTCATGCTCTGTCTCTCTCTGTCCCAAAAATAAATAAACGTTGAAAAAAAAAAATTAAAAAAATAAAAAAATTTAAAAAAATAAAAATAGAAAGAAAAAAAATTGACCCAATATAAAGTAGCCTGTCCCTTAAAGGGTTAAAAACAATCGACCCTAGTTTTCTACTCTTCTCCTGGGCTTTTCTGTCTTCATGACCTATTTATGAGCACTTGTACTAAAAGAGCAATATAGTGAAATGGGTTAGATACTTTACACTGTCAAGCCCTGAAATTCCAGGAAATTAGAGTTGACAATATATTCTATATTATTCTATAAGAAGAAAGAGAAAGAAAAGAAATAAAAGGGAAAGGGAAGAAGAGAGACTATTTCAGGAGAATAAACCACTAATTCACTTGCAACCCAAAAAGAAGTAATAGGAAAGGGCAACACACGAAAACAACCCCCAAATGATATCCTACATTAACTTGGTAAACAATAAATCCCAACTCCCTCAGGGTTTTTGTCCCCATTCATTTGTATTGGGGTTAAGAAGTTAGAACCTTCACATGAAGAGCTAGTTTGTATTCATTACAGAGCAATCTTCTTACACTCATTGTATTTTACCTTGGGAACATAAATAATGTAGGCAGAAAGAAAGTCCATTACTATTTAACTTCAACTATATAACACAATATGAATTTAAAGCTCATCAAGGCCAGAAAACAAACCTGCTACAAACTGTTTTGGAGTAGGCACATTTCCTTGCCCCTCTAGTTTTTCCCATCTCACAGCTTCTGTCTTTTTCATTTTAATTTCAATCTGGAAGAAAACACCAAACAAAATTTATTGTTCAATGTAAAATATACAAAACATTAAAAAAATGCAATTTCCTCAAGTCATAAACTTTTATAAGAATTAATAGAACCCTTGAGATCATTTCCTTAAATTATTCAAGGTTAAATTTCAAGAACTTGTAAACATTTATTTTTCTACTTAAAAGCCACCCTTCAAAAACAACATAAATACACACTATAAGCTACAATTAAGAAGAGTCTTGAGGCACCTGGGTGGCTCAGTCGGTAAAGATCTGACTTCAGCTCAGGTCATGATCTCATTGTTCATAAGTTCAAGCCCTGCATAGGGCTCCACACTGGCGGTGCAGAGCCTGCTTGGGATTCTCACTCTCTCCTCTCTCTGCCCTCCCTGATTCATGCTTTCTCTCTCAAATATAAATATGTAAACTTAAAAAAAAAAAAAAAAAAGTCTTGAAATCCATGTTTTTTTCTTCCAATGCAGTGTTCTCAACCAGAGGTGATTCTGCCTCCCAGTGGAATTTGGCAATGTTTATGGATACTGTTGGTCATCACACCCGGGGTGGGGGTTAGGGATGCATAAAGGGCAACCTTCCCAAAACAAAGATTTACACAGCCCCAAATGTCAACAGTGCCCCCCTTTGAGAAACCCTGTTCTAATAGAATCACTACATTTGCATGCACATTAACCTGAGAGTGGAGAACACTACCATTATATAAACATATTACAACTGGGGCACCCGGGTGGCTCAGCTGGTTGAGCATTTAACTCTTGATTTCAGCTTGCATTGTGATCTCATGGTTTGTGGGATCAAGCCTCACATCAGGCTCTGCACTAACAGCACAGAGCCTGCTGGGGATTTTTTCTCCCTTTCTGTCCGTTCCCTGTTCACATGTGCGCACATGCTCTCTCAAAATAAATAAACATTAAAAAATACAACTAATGCTACCATTTTCATAATCATTCACTAATTCTTAAACATACAATATGAACAAGCTGTAATTTTCACAGATGTGGTGGATTTTTTTTAAATAGTAAAAACAAGGGGCGCCTGGGTGGCGCAGTCGGTTAAGCGTCCGACTTCAACCAGGTCACGATCTCGTGGTCCGGGAGTTCGAGCCCCGCGTCGGGCTCTGGGCTGATGGCTCAGAGCCTGGAGCCTGTTTCCGATTCTGTGTCTCCCTCTCTCTCTGCCCCTCGCCCGTTCATGCTCTGTCTCTCTCTGTCCCAAAAATAAATAAACGTTGAAAAAAAATTTTAAAAAATAAATAAATAAATAGTAAAAACAAGTTCCTGACCATCTTGAAGTATGTGAGATATAAGATACTACGATAAAGTTGATCATGAGGCAAATAAATGTTCTAATAGCTCAGCAGAGATCACACCTGGGTGTAAAAACAAAGTTTTAGCACACTTTACAGAGCTTTGAGGGGTAGGAGCATTTACAATGGTGGAAAGAGGAGGTCTCTGGAGACAAAAGGAACAGCCTAAAACGAGCCCTGAGGTTTGAAAGGCCACAAAGCATCAGGGAGTATGGACAAGACCAATTTGCCACCAAGTCCAAGATTTATGTTAGAACAGTAAAAAACTACAGATGGAAAAGGTGTAAGGCAAATTATGAAGAGCTTATGAATGCTAGATTAGCTTCACTTATTAAAATGAAATTTACTGGGGTGCCTGGGTGGCTCAGTTGGCTGAGTGTCCGACTTCGGCTCAGGTCATGATCTCGTCGTTTGTTACTTCGAGCCCCGCATCGGGCCCTGTGCTGAAAGTTTGGAGCCTGGAGCCTGCTTCGGATTGTGTCTACCTCTCCTCTCTCTCTGCCCCTCCCCTCCTCATGCTCTGTCTCTCCCTCTCTCTCAAAAATAAATAAACATAAAAAAAGTTGTTTTTTTTTTAAATGAAATTTATCTTTTTTTTTTTTTTTAATTTTTTTTTTCAACGTTTATTTATTTTTGGGACAGAGAGAGACAGAGCATGAACGGGCAAGGGGCAGAGAGAGAGGGAGACACAGAATCGGAAACAGGCTCCAGGCTCTGAGCCATCAGCCCAGAGCCTGACGCGGGGCTCGAACTCACGGACCGTGAGATCGTGACCTGGTTGAAGTCGGACGCTTAACCGACTGCGCCACCCAGGCGCCCCTGAAATTTATCTTTAACTCTCTAATCAAGGTCGATCCCCTAGGGTCTATTCTTAACCCTAACATACACTCACATAACACTTTCATCTATCTTGTTTTCCTTATATTTTAATTTTTTTCTAAGAAAAGAATTACTACTTTTGTAAATATGAAAAAAAATTATACAAAGTTTAACAAAAAGAAAAGCCTATTCACACTGGTTCTTTGACTCCTTTAGATCCGATAAATCATTTAAACTAGCAATTACTGGTAATCTTTCTACCATCTGCACTTAGTGATAGAATCCTTAAAATCTGCATTTCATAATAACTTAAAACACTGAGAAATCTGCCAATATTTTTAACGAGACATGAAGTGATGGTATGGAAAGGGTTGTGGTCGCTGAGGATTTGTACTTTCTTTAGGACAGAAATGTAACCAAAAACTATTTTTATAATGAGAAAAACATGAAATGTCACTGGGAAAGAGACCAAAAGTGCACTATTTAAAAAATTTTGTTTTGAAGTTTATTTATTTTGAGAGACAGAGAGAGCATGAGTGGGGAAGGGACAGCGAAAGGGAGAGAGAACACGGCACAGAGCCTGACACAGGGCTTGAAGCCATGAACTGTGAGATTATGACCTCAAAAATCAAAGAGCCAAAATCAAGAGTCGGACACCCAACTGACTGAGCCACCCAGGCAACCCAAAAGTACAGTATTTTTAACATAATTTATGTGTTTAAATTCTACATAAATAAAAAAATAAACTCTACATAAATAAAAACAATTTTATAAGAATCTCTACAGTTCTCTAAAATGATGACTAATTTTTATAAAGTAAAATGCTATCAATATTTTCTCATATACAATATTAAGTGACAGTAATATTAGTGACAGTATTTTAAAAGTTATCACTGCTGGAATAATTATCAAAAAGGGGCAAAAATCTAGTAGCTGGCAATAACACAGCAATAGTTACTGAAAAGAGCTTTAATCCTAAAATTTAAAAAGTCATTTTGCTTCTTTAATTTTCAACTCATCTGGAAGTGAAGACCTGGCAAGCAGTGTATACATCAACACTACTATACTTAACTAACCTCTGCCACAGAGCACCCTATATTCACACCTCACGTTCCTGCACTCACGCAGGGTCTATAAGAAGTTCCTCGTTTCACCTAAAGAGCAGCACACACTACCATTCACGTCTACTAAAAACAACCATAACCTGAGGAATTGTGTAGTATGAACAAAGAGGCCTTTATAAGGCCAAAGTCAAAGCTCTTAGTAACAACCTGTATCAAGACATGCTGACCTGAACTTGAAATTGTACTTAATCCATTCACCAAAATAGCTGCACATAATAAACCACTTAAAGCAGCTTTTTGAAAAGACAAAAGTGAGGAGGAATACTAATTTTCTGTGAATTCTTTTTTACACGTATTTCACTTTCAATGTTTATATATGCTTTTTAAATTGAAGTGTTAAGTCTTAATGATTCTGGCAGGTACCCCCAGAGTTACCACCAGCCCAACTTCAGGTACTTTTACTGTGACTATTAAGAAGCTATTCTATTTTCATTTAAGTCAAAAATAATTTAAAAGTTAACTTAAAACTTTGGTAGTGTGCTTGAATGCTGCTCTCATATGCACAAGGAAGGCTTTCAAGAATGTCCCAAAGCAGTATTCACAGATTACTAATGAGAATCCCTGCTGTTCCAAACTGTCAGTTCTTAAGATTTTGTATACTATCACCCACCTCTAAAGTCTTCTCTGCACAGTTTAATTTTTTCCAATGAAAGGACTTCAGATTTAAAGGGAAGCCATTACTTCAAAAGGGTCATGACATCCAGATACCACCTTAAGAGGAGGTTAAGCTCCCACTTCCTGCTACAGAGGGACAGTGAAGGCATCTTTCTCAGACACTATGAGTTGTGGCAGTTTACTGCTAAACTTTCTTTTTCTGGTAGTTTTGACAACCACCTGTTTCAAGGCTGTAGTCATTAAATAATTGTTCCCGACCTTCAGAATGTAATTTTTCCCAACATTCTCTTAAATATTTAATTGCTGTATCTAACCCCTTCATCTGATAATAAACTCAAGTCTTCCTGAAGTCATACTGCACAACTACCATCTTTATTTTTACACTCAAATCATTTTTTTTAAGTTTATTATTTCAGAGAGAAAGACGAAGAGAGAGAAAGGGGGCGCACAAGCAGGGGAGCGGCAGAGAGAGAGGGAGACACAGAATCTGAAGCAGGCTCCAGGTTCTGAGCTGTCAGCACAGAACCTGATGCGGGACTCAAACCCATGAACCGTGAGATCATGACCTAAGCCAAAGTCACATGCTTAACCGACTGAGCCACCTAGGTGCCCCTACACTCAAATCATTTTATAATCATTTTTTTAAATGCAAAGAACAGTAATTAATGACAAGAAACTGAAAAATCTTCTCCAAAGTTCAACAAATTTTTTTTAATGTTTTTACTTTTGAGAGAGTGCGTACGAGTACTGAGTTGGGGAGGGGCAGAGAGAGACGGGGACAGGGGATCCAAAGAGGGCCCTGTGCCCGATGCGATGCGGTGCTTGAGATCATGACCTGAGTTGAAGTTGGACGCTTAACCTACTGAGCCACCCATGCGTTCCTCTTCCCCAAAGTTCTAATCGCACAATTCAAATATCTGCTTTGTGTCTACTCGGGCCAGGCACTGTATTAGTACAAAAGGTCACAGTCTCTACTCTCGCTTATGGGAAGCGATATTCCCATAAAAAAATTCCAGCAGGTATCACCTCTAGTGAAAGATCTAAATATAGGGAAATATTCCAGTTTCCTGGAAAGAAGTATGCCAAAATATCATCAATAGTGAGACTGAGTAATTACTTTCTCTGCTCCTTTACGTTTTTCCAAATTTCCTATGATACACATTTATTGCTTTTACAATCTGAATAAAAATCTAAATAATCTGGATAAAATAAGTATAGCAGTAACATTTCTTGAGCACTATTACATACCGTGTGTTTCATATCCATCATCTCAGTTAAAAGAACAACACTATAAAAGGAGATTACCATCCGTATTTTAGAGATGAGGCAACCAAGATAGACAACTTGCTGGAAGTGTCTTCTGCTAGAAGTTTTACTTACTTCCTCACAAATAAACAGAGGTTGAAAATAAGACAACTATCAGTTTTAGAAAAGAATCATAGATAGATACTACCTGCTGGAAATATGGCCATGAGCAAGCAACTAATCTCACTGAGCCTCAGCTTCTCCTGTAAAAAGGGATTAATAGGGTCTACTTCATTTAGGGTTCTTATGGGGATTAAATGAGCCCATGCATGAAAAGAATAGAGCACTGTATCTGGCAAATAACTGAATGTTCTTATCATTATCTTTATCATCATTATAATCAGCTAAAAAATCTGTGCAAAGTATTTAACATCTCTGGATTCAGTTTATACCTGTAAATAGGTGATAAAAATACCTCTATCATACAGTAATTGTTAGGATTCCATGTGTAGATAATACACAGCATTCAAAATAGTTACCTACTATAATTCTACACAGGTCAAACAGATAGGACTGACTAAATAAGCTACAATAGATGCATGCAATGAAATACTTTCCTGTAAAACATTTAAGGGCATGAAAAAAATATCCATAGTATATGGCTAAATTTAAAAAGATAGCTACAGACAGTATTTACAGTAAAGTCCTTTTCTTTTGAAAATACATGAATATGCATTAGAAAAGGTGGAAAGAATACACTTCAAAAACAATTTGTGCATCATCAGCAACTAATTATTTAAAAACATAATTACCACCACCACTGTTATCAAAAAGACATAAAACAACAATCCAAAAGTCTGTACATCCTGCCCAGACATCCCCAACTCCATCACATCATCATTAGGATTCTTCTATGAATATTAAGAAAAGGAATTCACTCTGAAACTTCTCAAATTTTAGTAAGTTAAGGGAGCCATGGTCTGTCTCAAAATAAAGACACACATTTTTACCTCCCACAATTCCAGTCAAAAGCCTTCATATTTTATAGACATAATACAAAAAATTGCTCTGACTAGAAATAGGAATAGAATTTTTTTTAAAAAATTTTATTTTTAAGTAATCTCTACACCCAATGCGGGACTTGAACCCACAACCCCAAGATCAAAGGTCTCACACTCCACTGAATGAGCCAGCCAGGTACCCCAAAGAATATTTCTACAAAGCATTTTGAAAATTCTCACTTTTTTAGGAGGAGTGAATATTAACCTTTAATATGAGTATTTCACAGCACAGCTGACACTTAAGTTATAAGCCTGTGATTGTGAGCAGAGAATACTGTCATGAAATTAGTAAGAGGGAACAAAAGAAACACTACAGTTTCTTAATAAATAAAATGAATTAATAGGCAGATAGGAAAGCTTGGATTCAATAAAAGGGAGAAATAACTGTCAGAAGTACTGAAAAAAATGAATTCTGACTTGGAAAAATCTAGGTAGGACACTGTAAAATATTTAGTTAAAAATGCTATTTCACTGATTGAAGGGTGCTACCTCTCTTATTTTCATTGCAAATTATATTTCCCTTGAATTAATAACACTTAACCAAGATTATACAAGAATATGCAACATTTCTTCACCCTTGAAGGTGGAAAAGAAAAAAACCGAATTCCCAAAGAAATCACCCCTTTAAAGCACACATTTTACAGAATCTCTAATTTTAAGCAGTTTCTTGTGACCAGAAGCATTCTTTTCTCAACTCACATAAACGATTCAAGATACCTGAATTCATATGAAAACCATGTGATTTCATTATTGTCTTCGTGTCATCACTAAATAAACCTCAGTAACCCACAGAAAGATTTGATTTTCAGTATTTAACAGTCTCCCTCTGCTGTATGAAAAAAGATTCTAAATTTTCATTTCCCTTAAGATATAATTAAGTACAATTATTTCAATTTGTTTCCCATAATATACAGCTTAAAAGTTGGTGGTCCAACAAAACTAATATATGTTACTTTCAGCTAGGAAAAGAAAAGTCATCTTCTTTACACATCTTTAGAATGGTAATTCTTTAATCTAGAACTTAGAAAAACCTAAGCAAAGAAGCACTAGCTTTCCAGAAATGAAAGTATTTCCCCTGGGCCAAGATGGATAATTTAGTAACTATGTAAACTTGGGGAAAGCTTTTAAAGTCCATGAACCCCGGTTTCATCTATAAAACTAAGAATAATCTAACAACTTCAAAGGGTTAACATCAGAATCCATTTTAAATTAATTCACTGAGGGGCATCTGGGTGGCTCAGTTGGCTAAGCATCTGACTCTTAGAGTTTGGGCTCAGGTCATGATCTCACAGTTCATGAGTTGGAGCCCCATGTCAGGCTCCCTACTGCTAGTGCAGAACCTCCTTAGGATTTTCTCTCTCTCCCTTTCTGCCCTGTCCCCTCCCCCTTCTTTCTACCCCATCTAACCCCCCTGCCCAAAATAAATAAACTTTAAAAAATTAAATAAATGTATTCACTGAACAATTATTGAGCAGCCCTATGTACAACACATAGGGCTAGGGTTGACAAATTTAGCAAATGGAATATACTTACACTAAAAAATTATTCAGTTTGTAAAATTAATGGGGCATCCTATACTTTATGAGCCAATCTTACCTGGAGCATATACAAAGACATAAATATGACATGCTTCTTATCCTCACAGACTAAATGCAAGGGAAATAAAATGTATACATAAACTACTGCACAAAAAAGAAAAATAGTTATGTAGCATTTAAAGAAAGAGGAAAGGCACAAAAAAGGTAACTGGGAACACAGCAGGAGCACTGCAAAATGGTCAGATTCAAGAAGTACTCAAGACTCAAAGGAAAATAAAGAATAAGAGATGACAGTGCTTCGTTAACATCCTCAATTCTAGCCACACAGACTTCTGTATTTATTATCACAAATACTATTCTTCCATAAGTTACATGAGGCGACCCAGTAACACAAGTTTTTAAGTCATTTACGCCATCTATTCACACAAGTCAGCTTCCATTTAAACTACTTCAAAAGAATATGCATTAACAACCTGTTGATAAAAATACCGTATGTAGAAAAATGCCTAATTCGTAATTTTCTCAACTGTCCCCCTCCCAAATCTAGCCATAGTTTTGTGGTTGATTACTTACCCATCTTCTTTTACTAAACAAATTCTACACTATGTGGATAGGGTCAATAGGACTACAATCTTGGTAAGATTTCATTCCTTTTCTCACCTACTTTCTATCTTCCAAACAACTGTTTCTTCTCTCCCCCTCATAATTTAACAGCTTTGTACTTTGTAATCTTTAAATAAATTAGTGGGCAAATCATTTCTAACTAGATGCAAAAAATGACCACTTCTTTATTTTGCACTTTTGCTCAAACGCTCTGCAGATACCCTCTTCTTTCCGCAAAGCCAGTTACCATATTCTCCCTGACACTAGCTGACCTGATTCTACTCTAGGATATGAAAATTCACCCAGCCTTAGAACTTAAACTCAATAACACAGCATGTTGCAGGACATGTTCGTAAAGAAGGTGTAGCAATGGAAAAAATCTACTTATATCATTTATTGTCATTAACTCATTACATATCTCCATACAATTTTACAGATGAAAAAATTTCAGCACTCATTTAGTCCATATCTCTCATTTATACAGTGAAAATTTACACCTACAATAATTTTGTGACAATGTAAATTCACAGAGCAAAGAACCAGAGTCAGATTTTTTTGATTTTTCAGTTCAGTACCTGTCCTGTTAAATTATACTACCTACATCTTTTGATTGATATCTAAAACAATATATGAATTTTAATTCCATTGCATACTTTTTGAAAATATAAATAAATCTAAAAATTACATAATTACTCAAACCAGAGTTTGAGTTACTCAGTATTCGCTTGTTAACAAAGTATTCTAAAATTCAACTTAATTAAAAAACAGGGAAAAAAAAAGGCAGATTCATCTTCACAGTAGTATTTTTAACTGCATAAAACAGGGTGAGAAAGTATTTGTACATCAAAACAGACAAGTTCAAGAGAAGAGATACTCACTGTCAGTATCAAATCTTAAATAGAGGCTGATAATTGCTTTTTAAAAAACCTCTTTAAGAACTATTATACCAATCTTAATAAATGTATAAACACTACTGAGGTTAAATTGAGTTTTACATTCCACTGTCCTAGAATTTTGGGAGGGGAAAATTGTTACTCAAAAATTATTGTTTTTAATTTGAAGACATGTGCCTGAAAGGATCTATAAACTTAAAATCACATGGGTGAGTAGTTGACCAATATTTCTAGATTTTGAAAACATCACTACTGACAACTATTTTATTTTTAAGTAATATCTACACCCAATGTGGGGTTTGAACTCACAACCCCAAGATCAAGAGTTGCATGCTCTTCTGACAGCTAGCCAGGTGCTCCCACTAACAACCCTTTTAAAATTGTCTTACCTTTAAAATAAATAAATAAATAAATAAATAAAATAAAATAATAAAAAATAAAATTGTCTTACCTTTGTTGAAAGTACTTTAAATGTGCTCTGTTCTGGTATTATAAGATGAAGAAGTCTCAGTTTCAAATTATAATCCTCTCCAGAAGGAAGTTTCACCAAAGCAGACAACTAACGAATACAAAATTAGCAGTACATTTTATAATTTATATAATGAAGGATCACTTAAACTGAATATAAGAATAGAATTTCAATGCTGCTACAGATTGTTTTAAATACTTTATATAGAGTACCAGATTTAAGAAACTCAAAATAATCCTTTTTTTCTATTGGGTACCCTTTACATGGATTCTCACATACATTATTAAATAACAGAAAATAGTATGTTTCAAACAAATATTTAACATTTAAATCTCCAGAAAACTCAAGAGCAAAATATAGTATGAAACAAAAGTATTCATACGCAAGACATCTACTTCTACCACTAACTTAAATATCATTAAAGTTTTCTAGTAAATGCTAGCAAACCAAATGATTAGAGGCCGTACTAATTTCACGTGGTTAGCAAATTCTAAGACATATAAATCACCCAACAAATAAGTAGATCTTTTTCACAAAAGTGCATCACACAAATGTACCAAATCACATCTTACTAATTAATGTCTTTTATTATTTGTCAACCAGATTCTACTGTGAATTTCAAATCTAAAGGAAAATTATGTACATCTAGCTGTACCCTACAGTATAAACACTTTTGTCTCAAAATTTAAAATCACTCAAACTGAGAAGCAATGCTTTAGATTTTTATCAGCATTTTCCACATCTCAGGAAGAAATGACATACCTGATAAACTGCTATAGGTTATTCTGCAATATACTATTTTGCAAATAAAAGTACGTAATCTCAAAATAAAAGATAGTTCAAAGATAGTATTAACCTCTTTTTCTGAAAATTCCACATTTACATTATTCTTCTGAACATTCTTGATCATGAGTGTAATGATTACTTGAGATTCTGTTTGATACCAGTCATACCTATTAAAAGAGAAAAAAAAACCTCAGAACATCTAATATTCTCAAAGTTGTTGCTTCTTTATGTTTTGTCAAGATAAAAACTACAATATGATAAACAAGAGCTCCACCTTGAGGAACAAAATAGAAAAGCAGCTGGTGATTCACAAACAATTTTATATAACTGTATTTCCTTTGATCTGTACTAATGAACAGTGAGGTATAATCCCTAAAACGTTTCCAGGAGACTTAAACACTTACATGATTTTCGGGGTTCTGACTTACATCTGTATTACTGTTATGCTTAATCTAATGTTGAAAACAAAACTGATTCTAAACAACAAACCATTATTATATACCATCAATAGTTTTACACTTCCGTTTCAAACTAATATGAAGAAAAAGCACTCTATCCCTATTTTACAGATGAAAAAATATAAGCCCAGAAGGGTGAAGCAATAAGCCAGTCAGTGGTAGGTGTTACACTGGACCCACATCAACCTGACTTCATACTCCAAAATCTCTTAACTGAAGCTGGGGGCAACAGCACTGAATACAATGAGCAGAAGCAAATGAGCTAAAAATTAAAATAACTTAAAAGTTTAACCCATCCTACCAAACACAACATTAAACACAGTATCTTCCTTCAGTCTCAAGGTACATGGGAAAACTAGTGGGCCTAGAAATTCTAATTATGTGTATCTTTCCCACAGAAGGCTCTAAAACTGTAGGGATCCTCACTTTCAAATTAGATTAGATTAGATTATAAACTCCATGAGGGCAGAGCTATTTATCTATCCTGCCACTATTATATTCCTAAGACTGAGCACAGTGCCTGGTAATATGAAATCAATGTCAGATTATCTTACATTCTAACATCATAGTTATTATTCGATGTTTGTGTTATACTCTTGATGCTGCCACCAAGCTAGTCAAATTTCCCTGTCTACTTGGTACTTGGAGACTCATCCTAAATCTCGCCAGAAAGAACATGAATTGTTTTAACATTTTCAAGCAATTTTAGGTAATTAAAATGCACCTTGATTAAAGACATATACTTTAAGAGTCTCAGTTTCCTGCTGAAATTCAGTGAGGATGCAAAGCTCCAGATCAATGCCTTGTGTTTCTGTTACAGTCCTAAGAATACAAGTTGTACACATAGCTAATGAATAATTAAAAATAAATTCAAATACTTGCTAGATGCTTAATTCATCATTGTAACTGCTGCCCTGAGCAATAGTAACTTTCAACTCATGCAGAATTATCCTACGAAAAATATACTCTAAAATATAAAAGGCACAATTCTGTCAAGCCTACTAACTTATTTACCTGTGTAATAACACCTAAAGAGGTTCTTGTCATCTCAAGGTGACATAATAAGGAACCAGAAAAAGTTTAAAGTGAAGTGATTTTAATTTACCCTTAATCATAAACACTAACAGGAATCAGCAAACAGCTCGAGAATTTGTTTTCTCGGGCTAAGCACTATTTCTAAAAAAACTAAAAAACATTAAAATCACAAAGTAAGGACTTGCTCATTACTATTAAACAACAGGATTTTTCCCTTTAGACATATATATCATGCATTATTTCATGAAAAAGAAACACTTACTTGATTTTTGACTGATGAGTCCTCTGGGATGCAGACTGATTTTGGCAAGTCAAAAGAGAAAAATTTTTACAAACTGGTTTAGCAACTGTATATTAAAACGCACATATTATTAATTTACCCAGTGCTATGGTTACTTTGATATGGAGTAACTACATGAAAACGTCCTCAAAGACAAAGCATAATATTCATAATTGTTAAGTAACACTAGTCATCTCAAAAAATTAGAATATTCAGTATTTTTATAATTTTAAGATTTTTTTTCTAAAATAAAAGCATAAAACCCAAAATACTTTCTAAAGGTATGATTGGAAAAGCTTACATCTAAAATGTTCAGTACTCTTTTTTTTTTTTTTAATTTTTTTTTTTTCAACGTTTATTTATTTTTGGGACAGAGAGAGACAGAGCATGAATGGGGGAGGGGCAGAGAGAGAGGGAGACACAGAATCGGAAACAGGCTCCAGGCTCTGGGCCATCAGCTCAGAGCCCGACGCGGGGCTCAAACTCACGGACCGCGAGATCGTGACCTGGCTGAAGTCGGACGCTTAACCGACTGCACCACCCAGGCGCCCCAGTACTAACTCTTTAAAATGAAAATAACAGGGGCGCCTGGGTGGCGCAGTCGGTTAAGTGTCTGACTTCGGCTCAGGTCATGATCTCACGGTCCGTGAGTTCGATCCCCGCGTCGGGCTCTGTGTTGACCACTCAGAGCCCGGAGCCTGTTTCAGATTCTGTGTCTCCCTCTCTCTCTGCCCCTCCCCTGTTCATGCTGTCTCTCTCTGTCTCAAAAATAAATAAACGTTAAAAAAAAAATTTTTTTTTAAATAAAATAAAATGAAAATAACAATGACATTTAAAAAACCATTTTTCAGAAATAGTGTAACTTGGGTCGCCTGGGTGGCTCAGTCGGTTAGGCATTGGACTTGGGCTCAGGTCACTGTCTTACGGTTTGGGAGTCTGAGCCCCTCACAGGGCTCTGCACTGATGGTACAGAGCCTGCCTGGGATTCTCTGTCTCCCTCTCTCTCTGCCCCTCCCCAACTTGCGCATGCACTTCTCTCTCAAAATAAATAAACTTTAAAAATTAAAAAAAAAAAAAAAAAAGAAATTAGTATAAACTTCATGCTTAACAATGGCATCAAACATGGCTCTGGAACATATGAAGGAACGTTTTCATGGTACCTTCCAGATAACAGCTTACTCCATTTATGGTCTCTCAGTAACAAACATTCTAAACTGCCCATCAAAAAACAAAGTGACTCTTGACCAATCCATACTTTCCTAAACTACATGTGTGCCAGTTAAAAGTATGTAAATCTGAAAAACTTGCCCTGGGTCGTAAGTGACCTCTAAGTTGCCCCTAAATGATAAGCGAAGTGATGGGGTTTAAAGGAAGAAAATAAAACCCCTCTACAGATCTGAGTCTAACTCAGAATTACCCTCCAGCATTAACTATTGACAAATACTCAATCTAGATACCAGATGGAGATAATGACTAGAACAGATATACAGAACCTCGGTATAAAGATAAAACTACACTGGTGTCAACTACAGCAGTGACAAAATGCACTGTGACTATACAGCAATTTGTGTTACCAGATGAAGTATTATCCAAATGCTACTCTGTTGTTTTCAGGACTAGTTCCAATCCCCAAAATAGTAAGCCATAAACAAAAATACCAGCGGTGTGAAAGAAGCCAACTTTTAAATACTTCCCTCACCTATCATACTTAGGAATATACACAAGCCTTGGGGGTATAGGGATAACCAGACAGGGTTCACTTTTGGTGATGTTCAAAACTCCAGTCACTACATATGCACATACCTGGCCTCATGCTCACAACCTGTCTAAAGCAGATTAACTCTAGCAGACCCGGTTTACAAATGAAGAAAACCCAGAGAATAAAATATTTTCTCAGTGTCACAATGTAATTCTGGAAGACAAAGATGTACATTTTCATTGAGACTTGAAGAAAGAGACCCAAAAAGGTTAAGTAACTGCCCTTAGAGTTAAGACCACACACACGTTTCCTAAATCCTTGTCATTTTATTGACTAAATTGTAGATGATCACTGCTAAAAAACCATTAGCCGTAATTTATGCGTGTTATTTATAAACATTGTAGTTAAAAAAAGTCAAATAATTTTCAAATCCACCATAATTTTAATTTTTTTTAAATGTTTATTTTTGAAAAAGGGACAGAGTGCGAGCTGGCGGAGGGGCAGAGACACACAACCCAAAGCAGGTTCCAGGCTCTGAGGTGTCAGTACAGAGCCAGACATGGGCTCAGACTCACAAACCGTGAGATCATGACCTGAGCCAAAGTCAGACACCTAACCAACTGAGCCACCCAGGCATCTCTCAACTCCATCATAATTTTTAATTTTTCAGTTTTAAAAGACTTGAAAGTCTTCATGTCCAAACACCAAATATGAAACTAAATTAGATAAACATTTCCAAATTCTAGTTAACTTTTGTGTGTGGGTTTTTTTTTTAATATTTATTTTGTGAGAGAGAGCAAGCAAGCGAGCATGCGCACATGAGGGACGAAGAGAGAGAGAGTATATATATTCCAAGCAGGTTCCGTGCTGTCAGTGCAGAGCTGGATGCAGGGCTCAAACTCACAAACTATGACACCATGACCTGAGCTGAAACCAAGAGTTGGACGCTCAACCAACTAAGCCATCCAGGCGCCTCTGACTTTTGTGTTCCTATTACACCACCATAAACCCTGCAAGTGCTTCCAAGGCAGCAGCTGTTCAACCTAAATGTGAGGACGTTTCAGCAAGGAAAAGAAAAAAAAAATAACCACCCTGACCATACTAAAACATAGCAAATCAACTTGACTCATACATTAAATGAGCCCAATAATTTTCATGGCTACAAACCTCTACATTAATTTCATCAAACCAAAATGTATTACTTCAGTTACTAAAGGAAAAAGTATTTGCATCAAATTGCTTAAGATATAACTAAAAGAAAGATCAGTCTGAGTCCTGTCTCAAATATGCATAGCAAAATTATAATTAAGTAAAAACACGAAGGAGAAAAACTTTGTACTTACCACCTCAGATTGTGATCCTATTAAAAACATAAAAACATCTCCGGTTAACAATACACTTATAGACAAAGTTATATACATAATTTCTATGGTGCAAACATACTGACTGATTGCATAAATCAATTTACCATACATCCCAAATAAAAGAAAGTGGTTTAATTTTGCATTCTGGAGTCACTTTAGACTTCTTAGTAATTTCTTACCGGTAATATAATGATACAAATCTATCTAAATCATCCTTTCAATATAACAGTACCTTGGAAATCACTATCTGAGGGAACTAGTTAAATTTATGATGTATAAAGTTATGAAGTTACAAATAAATTTGTTTAAATCCAAAAATGTCAAACATTTACTTCTTTGTAAACTGAAAGACCTTTAGAAACCTACATGCTTACCATCCTGAGCTTCTTGACACCTTTTAATCCAGACAGTGAAATCAGGATCTGCACCTAGAAAAAAACAGAGTGTAACATCACTCATCTGCACCATCTAACATATTCATTCAACAAATACTTACTGAATATTTACTATGTTCCAAGCAGTGCTTTAGGCACTAGGGGATTCAGCAGTAAATTAGACAGAAACCCTTGTCGTACCACAGTTTATAGCAAACGTAAAATTACAGCTACAAATATACTAATAGGTTTAACATATAGACATTCATCCTGAAGAATTAAAAAAAAAAAAAATTGCTTTTAACCAGTCAACCTTACTGGTTCCCAGATACACAGAATCTCTATTTCCCCTCACCCTCTTCTGTTAAAGGAGCTTCCTCTAGCACAACGAAATCAGATCTGAATTAGAGTCCCTACACACCATCATTTAGTGTGGAGTGGAAGCCTAGTAACAGACAGCTGGACTGGGATCTAAAGGTTTGTTTAGATCCTCTGGTTTAGGTCCTCAGGAGAACAAACCTCTCCTGACCCAGGTTTGTTCTCCAAAGCAGCTACCTACCTATCCTGTCTACTGTTCTCTCAGTGGCCTGCTTGTTACCATGCCATTCTTACCAAGGGCAAAAAACACCTCTGGGGCGCCTGCGTGGCTCAGTTAAGCGGCCAACCTCAGTTCAGGTCATGATCTCACAGTTCATGGGTTTGAGGCCCGCGTTGGGCTCTGTGCTGACAGCTCAGAGCTTGGAGCCTGCTTCAGATTTGGTGTCTCCCTCTCTCTCTCTCTCAAAAATGAATAAACATTTAAAAAAATTTTTTTAAAAACCACTTCTGTACTTTGTGTAGTTGTCATATCTCCAGATTCCATGGGAGCCAACAGACGACAGATGGTGAACTATACACTTAAAAGACGGCAATGCAAACATGTATGTAAGCAAATTATTACAAGACTTAGAACAATGATGATATCTAAACAGTACAGGGTCTAATGAAATACAATGTTTAAAATTATTAAAAGTATTCTACGTAAAAGTTTACACACTCAATCTAATTACAAGCAAGATTATTTTGAAAAATAAAAATTTCTTAAAATGGGGTGCCTGAGTGGCTCAGTTGGTTAAGCATCCAATATGGGCTCAGGTCATGATCTCGCGGTTTGTGGGTTCAAGCCGTGCATTGGGCTCTGTGCTGACAGCTCAAGGACTGGAGCCTGCTTTGGATTCTGTGTCTCCCTCTCTGCCTCTCCCCCACTTATGTTCATTTTCTTTCTCTCTCTCAAAATTAAACATCAAAAAAATTGTTTTAATTTCTTAATATGAAATTTCCTAATATATTAATTTATAAGTGAAATTCAACTACACAGGCCTTAACTAATACCTACATACATGTACATACATATTCATTTTAGTGGGTGAAACAATTACATCAAAATCTTTGATTTAAATAACCTATTATTCAAATTAATCAGTAAATAAAAACCAAGCTTTCTACCATACCAAAGGAAAAAAAAAAGTAATATTCTGAGTTATAAATTTTTTACCTTCTCTAATAAGGGAACCCTAACAATTTAACATAAATTTTCCCTAAAATTAAAAAGAGCAAATCTGTTTTTAAATTAAATATCCTCAACAGCAATTTTACCAAAAACCAGACACCTTCATTTGAGGCAGACTGAAGTAATTCTAAGATAAAAGTCCATGGCAAGAAGGTATTAAAAAAGAAAAATTTTAGATGGGGAACTTTCTATTGCTCTAAAAAAAGAAATAAGGAATAGGGCTTTGAAGTCTAGAAAGGGGAATGATTCATGTCTCTTTAGGGTTTTCATATATGTATCATACAAGAAAACTGGACTCTAGAATTTGCTAGGAGTGGTGGTACGCTGGCTTGCTAAGCGAGTAACCTAATGGTTCACATACTACCACTCTTTCCTAATTTGTAGGTTCCGATTGCAAAGTTGGGCGCACTGTCCTCTCCCAAGCAGGTATACAGAAGAAAAGCAAATAATCAAAACAATACAACAGTAAATTTTTAGAAATATAAAAACACAGTCATGCAATACTTTAAAGTAGAGATTCACAACCTCAGCACTACTGATATTTTGGATGAGATACTTCTCTCTGTTCTGGGAAATAATCCTGTACAACATAGAATGTTTACCAGTATCCCTGGCCTCTACTCACTAGATGTCAATAGCACATCCCCCATCCATCAGTCATGGTCATCAAAAATCTCTTCAGACATTATCAAATGTCCCCAAGGGAGTAAAATCATCCCTAGTTAGGAACCACTGCTCTAGAGAACTGTGAAAAGACTCTATCATTAGAGGAAGATAAAAAGACAGTACACAATACACAATAAGAATTCTGTAGTCTACGATTATCTATGAGATTACTTACAACTTTTGTCTGCCAGTATTTTGCAGACTTTTCTGGTTTTTTGGCTCTTTCAATTTCTATACGTGTGCAGAGATATCCATACTACTAATTTTCACATACTTCTCTGAAGCTGACGTTAAAAACTCACAGTACTTTCAAACCTCCAAGTTTCTTCCTATCACAATTTACCCAAACTGACACTACACTTCCTTATAAAAATTTCTGCTGTAAAACTTCCCATCTCAGCTACCTGAATAATAACTTAAACTGAATAGACTTCTGAAAAAAGAGCAAATGAAACTTTCACTTGTCTATCAGAAAAATATAAAGCCAGGCTAAGTAAAGGGAGCACACTGAGTCTTTATATACAGTTTTTAACTTCTAATGGCAAAGTTTACCTGTGATTTAAATGCTAAAGAAAGGACAATTTAACCAATTTTAAGTAAACTCAAATTCTGCAAACAACAGGAAATGTCAGTAAGAAAAGAAAAAAAGATGTTGGGTTTCTACAATGAACTTGAGATGAATCTGAGATTACACTAACAAAATTGAGCTGTGGTATTTAAAATACAGAAATAGTGGGTTAGTTTATTAACATACAATTCCAATACTTACTATCTAATTTCTGTCCTCCTACAAAAGTTTCTAGAGCAGCAGCAAAGTTTTTTTCATGGTATTCACATATCCTGCATGAGCATATTAAAAACAAATACCACACACACGTGAGATCATGAAAAAAGGCTTTCTTTCTAATTAAATATCTTAGCATGCTCTACTGGTAAAAGAAATATTTTAAGTATATGTTAATAAGCCAAGAAGTTTTCTAATATACTGTAACATTAAATATATCTCCCATTAAAACCCTATTTTGGAACTCATTTCAGAAGGAATTTCTTGATTTTAATTATGTACACTTGCTTATTCCAAAATATAGTTACACTAAGAAATTAAAGAAGTTTCTTAAGAATAAAGTTACACTTAACAGAAACAAGCTGGGATATAAAGTACACAGATACAGCGCTTTCACAGCATTAAATGTAGCCTGTCTAGCTTGGTTGAGAAATATATTCTCTAGTCACTTAAATATAGTAAATCCCAAACAATGAACAAAAAGGGATATGAAATCCATCAGTTTCATCTATACCTTGCAATTACTCCAATCATTGCTATTTTAAAAAACACTAGTTATATATCTCCTATCACATACTAACTAGTTATGGAAGTATAAAATTATATTTAAAATTAAATCCTATTTTAGCTGTAAAAAGTATTAGTAAAATGTATCAATACAGAATTTACTATTTACATAAAACTTAAAATTAATTCATTCAACAAACTAAACACCTACTATCTATAGTCCAGATTCAATAAGAAGAGTGGTTATTGCATACCCTTTTCTCAGCATAGCAATGGAATTATTTGGATTAAGTTCAAGAGATTTCCTTGCATCAGCAACAGCATCTATATACAAAAAAAATTTTTAAAAAATGGGGTTTTTAGTCAGTTATTTGTGGATCCTAACAAGTTACATACGGAACTTGAATCAGCCTTAGATTTTTAAGTTTTCAAGTTTGAAAATGGACAAATGCTTCTAAATTAGGAAAAACTAATCCAAGATATAATTCAAAAAACTTTACCCTCATACCTTATGAGCCTAATATTTAGCTTCCTTTTTAAAGCTATTCAGTCAATGAATAAAGCTCTGTGATAAAGTTCATCTAATTTTCTCATTAACATCATTTATGTAATTTGTCTCAAGGTATTTAATTTTTCCCTACCCAGATTCTCTATCCAGAATAAAGTTACACAATACAGAAAGGTATTCTTTTTTATAAAAATTGCAAATAAGAACATTTCATTTAAATACTCTGTGAAATAGTAAATGTAATGCTATTTTTTTGTTAGCATATAAAATAACTACAAATGAAATCCATATAAATTGTCCACCCACTGAAGGAAGAAAAGACACCCAGAACATCTGTTTGGGTGTTGCTCAACAAGTTTGTCATGTTTCAGCTACTTTACACCCTGTATGAAAGACCAATTTAAAAATCCTCAAAGATAATCTCTACTGTGTATGATTCACTGTACCTTTGGCAAAATTTACAACTTAAGAAAAAATACAGTCAGTAAGAAAAGTTACCACAGTAATTCCCAAGAAGAATGTAACAATAAGCTCTTTGACAATAATATTCTGCATCATCTGGTTTCTGTTCCAAAGCCTTAGTCAGCTCCTAAAATATAAACATGTTGACTGTTAGTACGTGTTTTTTTAAAAGCAACTGAATTCTAATTAAACATGATTTTTAATCAAATAACCTATTATCATAAGCTATTTGGAGAAAACATAACAGGGAATTACAATAAGTCTGGAGCTTTTCTTTGCAAGAGAGTCGGTATCTCCCCTTCTCCGCTCTCCCCCACCAAAACCTACAATCTACTGTAGTATTAGCACAATATACTTAGCACAATTCCTGGCCTACAGTAGAAACTCAATAAATGGTAATTATTATCACCTCATTTATTCTGAAGAATTTAGATGATATACATTGACCATCACAGATTTTCTCCTCCTAATTTGGAAAAGACTCAAAGATCATGTAGAAGTTGACATGCCTAGAAAATGCAAAGCTGTCCAATAAAAACAAAGAAACAAACACAAAACCTAGAAGTTAAATCTAGAGCTCAGGGAAGTTAACAGAATCAATAAAGACACAATCAAGCTTATCTGGCCCTCTCCTATCCTGTCAATGGCAGGCAACCCTAAGAAATTACAGCATTCTGTTTAAAACCCAGATACAATATCTCATAGAAAGCTACTATTAATTGATCAAGATTTAACATCAGATTAAAAGTCTGCCACCCTGGGCAGTCAAAAAAGTATGTTAAGTGGTAGCTGAAACGATGCAAGAAGACACAACACGATCACAATCGGCCAACGAGAAATATAGGCCAATAGGAATGCTTTCATTCTCTACCCAGTGCTCACACATCCTAGGGATTTGGTAGTTTTCTTAAAAGGTAAAATCATTTCAAAAGCCACACATCATTAATTTTGCTTTAACCCAGTAGTGTGGTTCTCACAAAGCAATGTATACTATACATGGTAATCATTTACCCAAAATCCAACACACCTAAGATCCACACCATTTTTTACTATCTTCACCTCTACCGTCCTGATTCAAGCAATAATGAAAATCAAGATCTGGTTTACATCAATAGGCATAAAATGCTCCAATGTCTTTCGCTGACTCAGGACAAAGGCCCAAGTTCGTCTAGTGACCTGCAAGGCCCTCCCTGATACTACCCTCTGCTAGCTTTTCAACCTCCTCTCTTACTACTCTTCCCCTTGTTCATCTACCCTAAGCAAATTGGCCTCCTTGCTGTTCTTCAAACACCTTAGGACTCTGCACCTGCTGCTTCTCTCACTGGAAAGCTCTTTCCCCCAGACATGCACAGAAGATCTATTCCTTTACTTTCTAGTTAGTGATGAGGCTGTGCCAGAGACAGGATTCAAATCCAGTCTGCCTGACTCCAAATATGGTTTTAAACACTGCCTCTTGGTAATGTTGTTCCAAGTATCTTTCACACACCAATTACATTTTATTAATGTGTTTTCCTAACACTTTAAAATTCCTAAGTTAAATGATACCATCTTGCACTAAACTTTCAACAATTTTGAAAAGAGCTAATAGCTTCTTACCTATCTACTCAAATATATCTTCAAACCAAATTTCTAGCCTCTCCTAAGCAAGAAAACAGGTACATTTCAGGTCAAAAAAGCTACTATAAATTATATTAATATCTGGATCATCTAATTGTTTTATTTTTAACGTTTATTTAAGAGTGCGACAGAGCGGGGAGAGGCAGAGAGATAAGGAGAGAGAGAATCCCAAGCAGGCTCCAGGCTGTCAGTGCAGAGCCCGACACAGGGCTTGATCTCACAAACCATGAGATCATGACCTAAGCCGAAATCAAGAGTCAGACGCTTAACTGACTGAGCCACGCAGGCACCCCGGGATTATTAACTTAGAAAGCATTTTTAAACATATGTTACGTAACAAATCCAGGGCAGACACTGAGGGTACAAAGATAATTAAAATTAAAATGGAGTCAAGTAAAAACTTCTGAATTTCAAAGAACCAACTTGCAAATAACCTTTAAAAGCACAAACTAACTGGTTAAGGAGAAACAGTTACATGATTCAGTTAAATAAAACAACTTACTTGTTAGGCTGTTATTTTTGAAAAGTTACCAAGGGACAGAGCACAAACTGAACATTATGACACAAATTTAAATCATAAACTACAATAACCAATTTACTTTGAATAAGCAATACACAGTATAATAAAACCAGAAAAAGTGAAGTTAAAACAATTTGTGGTTGTATGAACTACAACGGACTTGTGGCATGTTTTGAGAGTTCTACTGTTTCTGTGACAACAGTTGTTCACTGCTGGAGTACAAAGGGACTGAAGAAAGGTATCTCAGAAGGCAAGGACTTCAGTGCCAACATTTGAATCATAGTGGCAAAAGGCCATTATGTAATGCAGACCAATGGGAAACATACTGTGAACATGTCCAAAGATATATACTTCCATAAAATTGGTTACGCTATGAGCAAGCAATTTATAGTTCTAAAAATAAAGAGACTCAGTGAACTCTAAAGTATAATTACACTGAAATCTTTACCAAGATAATGACAAAGGAAATACCCTGATAATCCAGAAAAAATAAGGGGGAAAAAACCTCCTTTTTAAGGCATTAAAATTGTTTAAAATTTGAACCTGAGAAAATGAATTTCTAAATCTTTCCAGTTTTAGGCTTTGTAAAAATGCTACTCAACAAGATAACTTGTTGCTAAGGTTAAAAGCTAAAGCAGACTGCTCAGAGGGACCTAACTGCTGAAGGTATGTAGCTCTAAGTATCTCAATTTGACTCCATTTCCCTTTTTCTTCTAGCCATGCTAATCCCCAATCACAGATAATAAACAAGAGTGTCAACCCTTCTCCTTTCCTAAACTATCTAGCACTGCTGAAAACAAAAACCACACAACCATGCACAACTGGGAACACTGCACATTTATGCTAACCAGCTACACTCTCAACAAAGCTATCAATGGTCAGTATCTTTAAAGTCAGCTACCAAACCTTTAATTATATTATACATCCCTAGACCTACCTCCTCCTCCAGAGGATGACCTTGATGCCTTGAACCCAGAGACTTATCACTTCTCAACTATATAACCTTGAGCAAGTTAATCTCTTTGGCCTCAGCTTCCTTGTGAGGAAAATGCAAATACCCACCTCAACTGTTCCAAGAATTATGGGGGGGGGGGGGGCCGCGGCCTGGCGGCTCAGTTAAGCATCTGACTTCGGCTCAGGTCATGATCTCATGGCTCGTGGGTTCGAGCACCGCATTGGGCTCTGTGCTGACAGCTCAGAGCCTGGAGCCTGCTTCAGATTCTGTGTCTCCCTCTCTCTCTGCCCCTCACCTGCTCACGCTTTGTCTCTCTTAAAAATGAATAAACGTTTAAAAAAAAAAAAAGATGCACAAAACCCCTGCCACCTTAAAGTTTACAATGGGGCCCACTTTAGATAGGATGGTCTAGGAACAAAAGCTGAGATGACATTTCAGCTGAAATCTCAATAGGTCTTATCTAGTCCCACTTCACAGGAAACCTGATCCAGAGTGACAAGAGGAATTTTCCTGAGGTTATGGATTTATTATGAAACCAGGATTTTGGATCCAAGCACTCTAATTCCAGAGCCTTTGCTTTTTTCTTTCTTTCTTTCTTTTTTTTTTTTTTAACGTTTATTTATTTTTGGGACAGAGAGAGAAGAGCATGAACGGGGGAGGGGCAGAGAGAGAGGGAGACACAGAATTGGAAACAGGCTCCAGGCTCTGAGCCATCAGCCCAGAGCCTGACGCGGGGCTCGAACTCACGGACCGCGAGATCGTGACCTGGCTGAAGTCGGATGCCTAACCGACTGCGCCACCCAGGCGCCCCTCATTTTTTTTTTTTTTAATTAAACTTTACCCCCAGTGTGGAGCTCAAACTCATGACCTGAAGATCAAGAGTCACATGTTCTAACAACTAAGCCAGCCAGGCACCCCCAAAGCCCGTGCTCTTAACTGTTTATACTGGTTCTCAAAAGATCTCATAATCCATACATATGTTCTCTCTCCCTAGTGAGCTGAGACATCCTGTTCAAGTGTTTGACTACCCTAGTTAGTCTCTGCTATGTTCTCAGTGTACTTCATACACCACTCCATTAGAATATTTACCTTATATTTTACTAATCTGTTGATTTGTCTCTGTCTCCACTAGAATGCAAACTTCCTCAATGCACTCTTTTCATCTTTAGATACCTGACTCCCAGCACAAAATTCACCAGTAATGTATATTGTATACTGAATGAATGAAAAAGGTGAATCAGCTTGATACATTTCCCCTTTAATCCTAATTGGATAGTCTTATATAAAAATATAACATTTTAGGGGCTCCAGGGTGGCTCAATTGAACATTGGGCTCTTAATCTCAACTCAAGTCATGATCTTGCAGTTTGTGAAATCAAGCCCCACATAGGGTTCTGTGCTGACAGCTTGGAGCCTGGGGATTCTACCTCTCCCTCTGCCTCTGCCCCTCCCCCACTGGCTCCTGCAGTCTCTCTCAAAATAAATGTAAAAAAAAAAAAAAAAAAAAAAGTTAACATTTTATTGATATAACATCAAGTGTCCTGATCCTGAATTTCAAAATGACTAGTTGACTCTTAAACAATGAGGTGTGTTAGGGGCACTGACCCTCACACAGTCAAAAATCCAATCTAACTTTTAACTCTCCAAAAACTTAATCCATAGATTTCTATTGACCAGAAGCCTGACTAATAACATGAACAGTCAACTGACACATATCCTGAATGTTGTAGGTATTATATACTATATTCCTACAATAAAGCTAGAGGAAAAAAATTAAGAAAATCACAAGGGAAAAGCATTTACAGAAAGGTATGTGCTGGGACACATCCATGTATAAGTGGGCCAATGCAAACCCATGTTGTTCAGGGGTCAACGGTACTGCTAAACCAGCCCTTGAGAAAGTCTAGAGAGAAACAGCCTCTCATCAAGGTTTCAGGCTTACTTATCATTACCAATACTTAGTAACTAACATTTACCTGTTCATCTTTATGAGAAGGTCTTCTCAAGCTTTAAAAAGAACACTTCCTCTTAAAACAACTGGTTCTCCCCACTCCCAGTTTCTGACTCAGGTAGGTGGGGTGGGTCCTGAGAATGTGCATTTCTAGCAAGTTCCCAGGTAATGCTGCTACAGGTGGTCTGGGGAGGATACTTTGAGAATTACTTTCTACAACACTAGACTCAGTGTGGAAATTTGTGTCCTGAGGGCCCCATTCTGCCTCTAATTGGCTATATACATCTTTGTGACAGATCATTTGGATTTCTTTGGGTCTGTTTTCTTCTGTAAAATGGAAGGGTAAGTACTAGACCACATGAAGTGTAAGAACTTTGAGTCCATCTGAGGTGGGGCCCGAGCATTTGCATTTCTAATAAATTCCCAGGTGACGCTGATGCTTCTGGTTCAAAAGCCACAGTTTAAGAACCAAGGTACTAAAGCTAACCACATGCCTATTCTATGCAATTTCGTTCTTAGGTATATACCCCCCAAAACAAAGTGCACGTGTTCACCAAGGTACACGTACAAGGAAATTCACAGTGGCTTTACTCATACTAGCTAATAACTGGAAATAACCTAAACATCTACTGTTAGTATAAACTGTTTTGTTTTTTTGTTTTTTTTTTTTTTTTTTTGAGAGCACACACGTGCGTGAGTGGGGGAAAGCCAGAGGGAGAGGGAGAGGGAGAAAGACTCTTAAGCAGGCTCCATGCTGAGCACAGAGCCGGAGGTGGGACTCAATCCCATGACCCTGGGATCATGACCTGAATCAACCGAGCCACCCACGTGCCTCTGTGCTATATTTTTAAACAATGAAATACTACACAACAGTGAAAAAAATAACTACTTCACACAATACGGACATATCTCACATGTTTAAAGCAAGACACAGTACCAAACTCAACTGGGTAACTAGTCTATTATTCCATTTATAGGAAGTACAAGAGAAAGCAAAACTAATGGTGACAGAGATCAAAATGGGAGTTTTCCTGGTGGGTAAGGGGAATTATTGGCTGGGAAGAAGGATGAGGGAGCTCTCCAGATGGAAGTGGTCCCCATCTTGATCTGGGGGGTATACACATGTGTAAAACTACAACTTCAGTAGCTGCAGACTTACGATGTTATACACACAACCTCAAAAAAATGTTCTTAAATAAAACAAAGGAGATGAGAAGTGACAACGAAATTCATTGCAACAATATCCTTTAAAAGCAACCCATATAAGCTAGATTTCCAATGAAGGCAGCGGGGCTAAGACGACCACAACAAATGTAGCTTCTGAAATTAACAGTTGTCTAGATGACCTACTGAATTATGGAGAAAAATGCTCAGTGCCTCCTGTAACATTATTCTAATCCTGATCCCAGAAGCTTCTCTGGGAAACAGAGCACAACAGATGAACCAACCATTTTATCCGAGGGCCTTCATATCTAGACCCAAAAAAACACACCCCAACTTAAAAGGTTCTAAAGGACCTGGCCCCTGGCTTCCTCCTGGCACCATCACTCACTCCTCTTTCATCCCCCTCTAGTGAAATGGGCCTTTTTTGCTGCTCCTTGAGTCGGACAGCCTCATGACTTTGCATTGGCTCTTTTCCTACCTGGAATGCTCTTTCCCCAGAGCTTCACATCACCCTCTCTCAGGTCTCTGTTCAAACATCACCTCTTCAGACAGACTCTACTACACATGTGGCAAATTTCGTTTAGCAGTCCTAGCTAGAAAAAAAACATCTCTTGCCTCAAACTGCTAACCTTACCTGTATTAGATATAACAACTAGACAAGGTTTGGTTTCCTCTTTCCCTCCTACTTCAAACCAAGAAAGCCCTCGCTGTATTTTGCAACCAACTGCATCATGTATCCCTCGCTTGGGCCCTCTTTATTATTTTTAATTATTACTTAAATCTTGCTCTTTTGACTTTTCTTTCTACCTTTATAGTCTTCCACTTCACACAAATACAAAGTGTCCTGTACATACAAATGCAAGACATAATACAAGACTTTAATCCAGAGCAATCAGTGTCTTATACAAAGCAACTCCAAAAAAAAGTTCTGATATATGAGTGGATAATGAACAGTGACAGGACATCTGGAAATATTCAGGAACACGGTAAAAGGTTTTGTTCCAGCAGTCTGCACTTTTTAGCACAGCACCTGGTATGTACGGATGGCAAGAATTATCATCAAGTGGAAAACCGAATTAACAAATATAATCAAGCCTAGATTTCACTTTTTCTCCTACTCACAAATGCCATTAAAAACAAAAACAAAACTGTTTCCAGGCCAACTATGAAGGTTAACTACGCCCCCAAGAAATAAAGAAGGCATTCGTAAGCAGCTACGAGGATGCAGTAACGCTCTACAACTGGGAGGGGACATGAACAAGGCTCTGGAGTAACTGGGGCACTGTGGAACCGAGGACAGACGGACACTGTCAGGATTAAGGATGATACACAACATCAACAGTAACCCCGATCCCAGGAAGGCAGTGCCGAGAAAAGGCGGGGTCCGCTGGAACCCGTGGGGGCCGCGCTCTCCCAAGAAGAGTGGAGGAAGCGGAGACTGATTCTCTCACCTCTAACGCCGCCTGGGGGTCCTCGTCGATCAGAGAATCTGAAAAGCTCCGGAAAAACCTGCCAGCGAAAACAACGACATGCTCACTAAGGAGAGGGTGAGTGGGAGGGGGAGATAAAAAAATAATTAGCGAAAAGAATAAAAACACGCACTTCTGGGCTGTTGCAGGTTCTGCTGCAGCTGCCGCCATCCCTAATAATCGCTGTTGCTGTTAGAGCTGCTACCACCGAGGTTACGAGCTGCGCCGCCGCCCAAGGGGGAAACTTCTGGAGAAACACAAACTGAGCTTCCGTCCTAAGTAGCCAACGAGCAGCCACGCAGCGTGCGGCGGGGGGAGGGGAAACGAAAAGTGAGCGCAGGGCGGGCTGGGACCGTGGAGGACTGAGTCTCGCGGCCGGCCGCGTCCCGTGACCAACACTCCCAGTCCCCGCCCTTCGCAGCCATGGTTACGGACGCGTGGGCTATTCACGTCTCCGCACTCCAACAGAGCCTTCGGGGGTAGTAGTTCAAAAGCATTTTTGTACCATACTGTTATTCCCCAGGAGCGTGTGACGCTTGGGAAAGTTTTGCATGTCTATTAATAATAAGCCACATCGGGCTCCATTTTCATCACAGCTCACTATAATTCTTATCATGGCTCCCCGAGGCAGCCGAGGCTTTCATGACCTGTGACGTCATTCTGCACTACGTGTCTTTTCCGGGAGCGTAGTTCCGGCCTGTGCGTAGTTCCTGTGATTTATGCGCTGGGAATCCTAACGGACAAGGACTTGCCGGAAATCGTCCTGCCCTTGCAGATACTAGACTGAAGGATGCACTTTGGTTCCGGTTCGCGTGTACTATTCCATTACCCAGGACTCCACAGCCGCAGGCTTTTTTCCTAGTTGGCTTCCCCGAGTGAAAAGAAAACTTGTTACATCTAAAGGCACCAAAGGGAGGAAGGTGGCCTAATATTGTGTCAGTACTGTTTTACTTTTCCAATCTAGTCAGGTCCTGTCCTCTCACCGCCCTTTGACACACGAAGATCTGATGGAAGCTTCTAGGAAGTTCCATGGACTAGGGGTGGAGAAAGGAGGAGGAAGTGGGAGCGAGCTGCCCAGTCAGTAGACATTAAACAAGTAAATGAACTTGAGTGTCTACTACATCCAAAATCTAAACTAAGCCCTGGGATTCAAAGATGTTAATATCCTCTCCAGAAATTTAAACTCATTGTTTTAAATGCTAACGTGAATGGGAATAGCCATAATAGCAAGGACAGGCACTCAGCCCAAAAAAAGGTATAAGGATGGCTTTCTCAAAGGTGTGATACCCGAGCCCCAGCCTCAAAAGCTAAATTAGAATTAGGACAGACAAGAACATGTGTTAGAAAAACGATGATATGAACTCTAAAATTGGTAGAGCCAAAATTCAAGTCAGGTGAAATGCCAGGTCATAAACAGCTAGATGTGGTCTTCTGAGGAGCTTGGATGTGATGCTCTTAACGATGCTAACCCATTACAGGATTTCTAACTTAAACAGGCCTTAACAGTCACATTTGCATTTTTAAAAGTATGTTCTTGTCTCTGTGCTATGGAAGAATGGTTAAAGGGAAAAGAACAGTTGTTGGCCACAACTGCTGTGTTTCAAGCCAAAGTGACCCTCTTACATAGGTCAGTAATTGTAGGGATGGACAGAAAGGTAAGAGCAGAAATATGTGAGGTAAAACTGGCTGGGTTTGCTGATCTTTTAGGATCAGTGCTTTTTGTGTCATATTAATAAGGCTTCACCTACTCCAAGGGCATGAGGCTATTCTGTGTTCTCTTCTAGATGCTTTATTAATTTAGGTTTGACATCCAGGACTATGATTTATCTCGCTAATTTTTGAGGAAGGTATGAGCCTGAGATCAAAGCTCTTTTCCCCCAATATGGATACCTGAGTGACCCAGCCCTACTTACTGAAAATGCTGTCATTTATTATTTCGCCTATTAAATTCTTTTTTTAATGTTTTCTTTATATATTTTGAGAGAGAGCACGTGCACACGTGGGGAAGGGGCATAAAGGGGGGAGGGGGGGAGAGAGAATCCCAGGCAGTTTCCATGCTGTCTGTGCACAGCCTGATGCGGGCTCGATCCTGTGAATTGTGAGATCATGACCTGAGCAGAAATCCAGAGTTGAACACTCAGTTACCATCCAAGTGCCCCCACCCACACCCCACTAAATTCTTAAGGTACTTTTGTTGTCAAGTAGAAGACCATGTGTATGTGGGTCTATGTGTCTAACCTTGTACCAGTACCACACTATCATAATTAATGTAGCTTTATAATGGATCTTGAGGTCCTAGAACTTTTCAAGTTTGCCTTGGCTATTCCAAATCCTCTGTGTTGCCATTATTTTATACATTTTATACAATTTATTTCCACTTAGTTACAAATTTTAGAATGAGCTTGTCAACTTAAAAAAAAAAAAAAGCCTGCTGGGATTTTAATTGGACTTGCATTGGATCTGTAGATCTGTTTGGAGAAAACGGACTTCTTAATATTGAGACATAAGTATCATTCATACACCCTCCATTTGTTTAAGTGCTCTTTAATTTCCCTCAGCAGTTTTGTAAATTTCAGTGTAGACGTATCACATATCTTTCATTAGATTTATACTTGGGTATTCGGCTTTAAAACAAAACTTTTATTTATTTATTTTGAGAGAGAGAGAGAGAGACAGGGTGGGGGAAGAGTGAGCAAGGGAGAGGCAGAGAGGGAGAGAGAGAATTCCAGGTGGGCTCCACGCTGTCAGCACAGAGCCCTGCGTAGAGCTCAAGAACTGTGAGATCATAACCTGAGCCAAAATCAAGAGTCAGACACTTAACCAACTGAGCCACCCAGGCCCTCCAGTTATTTGTTTTTTTTAATGCTATTTTAAATGACATTTTAAAAGTTTTATATTTAGGGATGACTGGGTGGCTCAGTCGGTTAAGCATCCAACTTCAGCTCAGGTCAAGATCTTGCAATCCATGAATTCAAGCCCTGCATCTGGCTCTGTGCTGACAGCTCAGAGCTTGGAGCCTGCCTCATTCTGTGTCTCCCTTTCTCTCTGCCCCTCTCCAGCTTGCACTCTGTCTCTCTCACTCTCTCTCAAAAAATAAATAAACGTTAAAAAAGATAAAAGTCTTATATTCTACTTCTTTGTTTTTAATACATAGAAACAGTATTTTTACATATTGACCTTCTATTTCTTTTTTTTTTTTTTTTAACATTATTGAGAGACAGAGCATGAGCAGGGGAGGGGCCAAGAGATGGGGAGACACAGAATCCGAAGCAGGCTCCAGGCACTGAGCGAGATCATGACCTGAGCTGAAGTCGGATGCTTAAGCGACGGAGCCACCCAGGCGCCCCTTGACCTTACATTTCTAATACCTTGTAGGTTCTTTTAGAATTTCTATGATTACAATTTTTCATCTGTGAATAAAGATTGTTTAAGGTCTCGTGAAATGACTATACCATTCATTTCTTTGTCTTGCTGTCTTTCACTGGCTGGTACATCTCATATAGTGTTGAATGGAATAGTGATAATGGGCTTTCTCTCTTGGCTATAACATCAGAGGGGAAGGCATTCAATAGCAAATGCTTTTTCTGCCTTTACTGAAATGTTCATATCTATTTTTTCTTTAAAGTGAATTACTTTGATTTTCAAGTGTTCTCTAAATGGCCAATATGCATAGGAAAAGAAGTTCTACATCAATAGCTATATTAGGGACATTAAAGTCCTACTTTGCTACTAAACACTCACCAGAATTGTTTAAAAGGAATTCCAATACCAAGCCTAGGCAGGGATATGGGGCACCTATAACTGGTGTATGTTGCTAGTGGGAGTATAAATTGGTGTCATTACTTTAGAAAACTTTTTTTTTTAAGATTTAAAAAAATAATCTCTACACCCTAACATGGGACTCGAATTACAGCTCCAAGAGTTACATGCTCCACAGCCAGGCACCCCTAGAAAACTTTTGACACTATCTACTAAAGCTAGTCATACATATACCTTGTTACCCAAAAATTCTACCACTGGGCATATCCCCAAGAGAAAAGAGTACTTAGTTTGTGTACACGAATATTGATTACAGCATTATGCACAGGAAAAACTGTAAATAAATATCCTTTGATAGGAGAAAAATACTATAGAGCAATGATTAAGAATAAATTGCCAATACACACAACAAAATGTAGGAACCTCACATACATACCTCACATACATAATGTTGAGTTAAAGAAGCCAGACAGGGTACATCTCGATTGATTCCATTTACAGGAAGATAAAAACTATTGTGAGGGATACCAGAAAGTGATCTCCTAGCTGAGAAGAGCCATGAAGGAAACTTCTTGGATGCAGGAAATGTTACATATCTTGAACCAGGTGGCAATTACACCAATATATTCAGATGTAAAATTTTACTGGGTTGTACACATAAGATTTGTACCCTTCATGCCTCCATAAATAGGAGGTAAAGATTTAAAACACAACCAGCAACAGTCAGAATTTGAAATTTATGACATTTACAATAGCATCAAAAATATTAAATACTGAAAAATAAACCTGACAAAGGATACACAAAAAGTATACATTGAGATTTATGAAACATTGCTGAGAGAAATTAAAGAACACCTAAACAAATGGAGATGCATCTATGGAGACTTAATATTGTTAAAATGTCAGTTCTTCCCAAATTGATCTATGGATTCAACATGATCCCAATCAAAATCCCAAAGGTTTTTTCTGTTTCAGTTGAGAAACTGATTCTGCAAATTCAGGTGGAAATACATAATTAGAATAGTCAAATCAACTTTGAAAAATAACAAAGCTGGAGAACTAACACTACTGATTTCAACACACCAACCTTTGTATGTATTGGCACAAAGATCAATAGAACAGAATAGAGTCCATAAATTCACCTGTACGTATACGACAAGTGATTTTCAACAAAGGTCCAAAGATAACTCAGGGAAGATAGTTGAAAAGGATAGTCTTTTGATACTTTTTAATTGAAAGGGACAGTGTTTTCAACAAATTGAATATACAAAAGCAAAAAAAGTGAACATCCAATACATACCTTGCATCATCTATAAAAATTAACTCAAAATGGATCATGGGCCCAAATGTAAAATTTAAAACTATAAAACGTCTAGAAGGAAGAAAACCTTAGTGACCTGGGATTAGGCGAAGATTTCTTAAATATGACACTAACAGCATGACCCTTAAGAAGTTGATAAATCAGACTTTACCAAAATTAAAAGGTTTCTGCACTTTAAAAACACTTGCGAATCATATAGCTGATGAAGAACTTGCATCCAGAATACATAGAGTTCTCAAAAGTCAGTAATATGAAAGCAACAGAATTTTTGATGGACAACAAATTTTAACAATCATTTCATCAAAGAAAATATATGGATGTCACATGAGCACATCAAAAGATGCTCAAAATCAGGGGCACCTGGATGCAGGAGCACTTGTATCACAACCAAACTCCTGGGGCAGCAGAGACAGTGATACAAAGCCTAGTGTTTAGTGCTTGGCAACAGTGGCTAC